GCAAAAAGGAGACCCTTGTCCGGGACCGGCCTTCATAGAACTGGGGATCCACAGGTCCCTGCGTTTTGTATTCTGAGTCTCCATTCAGTTCTCCAAATTCTAAGGGCACTGCTCCGAGCCCGTGGCCTCATTGTAATCATGGCCTGTTCAAAAGACCTACCCCCAACTTTCTGCCACCGATAGAGGATTTCTGAGGCGTTGTAAATCTTGAAGGAAGCAGACAGCCTCATCTTGGTCCCTCCTCATAGTTGGTAGGTTTGAAGCATCGACCTTGCCTTTAGCCAACTGCTTTCACACCAACAAAGACACACTGCACTGGTCAAGGGGAGACCTCACACCACTTTGGATTTGATGGGACTGTTTTACTCATGGTTCACCATCTAAATTTCCAGCTTGTTTGTTGTGGAGTTTGCTGCTGTTTAAGCAAAAGACAGCTAGGCATTGGATGGCAGTCAGTGAAGGGGAAGCTCATTGAAAGAAATAGGAACTGTGTCTTGGAGAAGATGCAAAAGTTAAAGACGTGAGTATATACATATATATGTCCCCTTACATTAATTACATTAAAAACAAAAACCATAAAAAATAGCCTCACAGCTAGCCAACAGTATATGCATCTTGTTAACTTTCATTTGAAAATCACATCAAATTTTAATGGAATATTTAGGAGAATCATAGATCGCTGCCTCCACATTTTAATTAGCTCCAGGCATATATGCTGGTATATTTTTCTTGCTGCTTAAGAACTTTTTCCCATACCTGAAAATTCCACATTGTGAAATTCACTAGCCTGTGTAGATGATAAGAACTGATTAAAAACTGTGGGACTGTGCTATAGAGGCATCACTTTTGTTGGCAGTACAGACAGCAGTACCCTGTGATGTAGGACAACGTTCACTTTGATTAGGACAGAGAAAGAGAAGAGCGGAGAAGTTAGTCTGCCATCCTAATCCTGCCCGTTTGCCCAGTACTCTGAAGTTTTATATTCATGAATATCACTTGCTCATTTAACAGACTCACAGGTACCTATTCTGTTAGATGCTCGGCTTGCTGGTTATGTATATTGCCCTTGTCTACGCCTTTTCAGTCCCAAGGTGTAGTCTTTCCTAATGACTACTGATCTTCTGATCTCTTGACACAATAGCATTCTCAATGAAACGAATAATGAAATGTGTGGGCCATTTTTTTTCACCTTGTCATTTAAAATTAAGCCATTGTTTCTTCCAAGTGTCTTCTGCATGGGCAATAGGTGCCCCAGAACAAAGATACTCTGCTCTTGGACAGCCCCTTGTGGCCAGGTTGAGCAGAACCCTGCTAGTAGGGTTCTTAATAGTTGTCACTTTTTATTTTTATTTTTTTTAAATACTTTTATTGGGGGTTCTGACATCTCTTACCACAATCCATACATTCCTCCAATGTGTCAAGCACTGGAGCCCCTGTTATCAGCCCCCCATTTCTTTGGTTGTCACTTTTTAGAAGTAGACCAAGACTGCTGAGGGACTGGGGTGGGTTCTAACTTCCAACCTTTGGATTTGTAGTTGAGTGTGTTATCCTGCCACTCCACATTGTAGATCCCTAAATGAATATGTTGACTTCAATACCACTCAGTAGGTTTATATGCTCGTTTGTTTTTAGTATTCATACCCTTAGGATTCAGTATTGTGATTGTGGCTCTCTAATGCGTGTTCTGACTGTCCAAGCAGAATTGACTAGAGAATCGCATTTGCCAAGAATCTGAGCAAAGTTCCCCGTTAACAAAGCCCCTGCTCCCAAATCCATTCTGACTGAGAGTGACCCTATGGGATAGAGTAGAAAGCTCCTTAGTGTTCCTGGGGCTGTACCTCTCCATAGGGACAGCCTCCTCTTTCTCGGTGCCCCACTGGTGATAGGTGTTAACACTGAAGACGTTTTCATTCTCAAAATCACTAGTAGTTCTCTTTTTAGTCATCGATCTCCTTCTTCTGCCTACAGAAGTGATGCCTCCCAAAAGAACTCACAGATCGAGACTTCCTGTACCTCTTCCGGAAGGCAAGGTTCTGGATGACACTGAAGGGAAGCAGTGGGTGCTGGGCGAGAAGATCGGCTCTGGCGGATTTGGATTGATATACTTAGGTAAAGTGTAGCTGCACATTGCCAGGGAGTCTGAGCATGCACCTTTAACTCTAATTGCTTAGTATTTCAAAAATCGACTGAAATGGAATGAAACTCATACATGTACTGTCCAAATAGCGGGAAGCTAATTCATGCCCAGTAGCATGTCTAGGTTCAACAGTTCGTTCCTTGTTTTCCATGTTTTCATGAATGACTCTTAGAAGTCTTTTCAGAACACGGTTACCCCATTCCCTGGACAAAATGTGACTGCTCTTTTTAGAGCTTGGTTTCCGATAGAGCTTTGTTTGTCGCAGCTCAGCACCCACAACTGCAAATACATACACTTTCCATTTGTGAATGTTCCTCATGAAACTTTAGGTGCATGGCCTTGGGTTTTTCTTAACTGGGTTCCCCGAGAGAAGTCTGCTTTAATGCACCAAGGGCATCGATTGCACCAAGAGAATGAACTTGTCTCCTGTGAGTTGAGAGTGATACTCTTTATATGCCACCCTGGGGACCATCGGGAACTAGACACCAATTCTTTTCTTCGTTCTTTGGTACAGATGAGTAACTGAGAACCGAGGAAGCTCAGTACCCTTTTTATACTGCAGCGTAACGAATGTGCACGTGTCATCGGGGTTCCTGGAACTGTGGTGAGATGAGGGGATAGCCAGGACTAACTCAGTTTCGTGAAGAAAGTAAGGTAAAGATTATCGACTGAAAAATCAGCCCATTAGCGGGCATCATGACCTCGAGTTCTTTCTGAGTGAGTTTGGAAGTTGAAGAAAGAGCTCGATTGGGTAACTATGGCATCCTCCTAAAGCACTTCCAAACAAACATGGCCCTCCTCTGATAAAATGAAGGCTTTGGTTTCAAATGAATGACAGTCAGTCCACTCAGTGTCCAATCTAGTTGGGAAAACAACAACGCACAAAATTATATGGACCAAATACAGAAGCATTTCCCCATTTCGAGAGTATGAAAAAAATGTAGGGTATGTCTTAGCTGGCTTTTAAGGACTCGGCAGTCCTTAGATAGTGGAATTCCTTGTAGAATTCGTAAGTGGTGTTTGAGACTGAATTCACAAATGCCATTTTATAGCAAAGAATGAAGAGCTCTAGTATACTATCTTAACTCTAGGGCAGTAATATGGATTTTAACAAGTTATTTCTGATTTGGCCTTGGATACTGCAGCTTATGACTTACATATTTACTTTTCTAATGTGTGATTTATATGAGTAAATTGGAGAGGAAACAATGAATTGTAGTCTTATCCCCGTGTTAATTTAAATGCATGTTATTCTATTTATCTGTCTCTCTCAATGGATACCTGGTGGTGCTCTGGGTTAGGTGTTGGGCTGCTAACTGCCAGTTTGTTCCAGTCTACCAACCACTGTGTGAGGTGAAAATGAGGCTGGCGGCTCTCATGGAGATTTCCTTATCGCCTTGGGATCCCTATGCAGCGTTGCTCTGAGTTGAAATTGACCACAGCCACTCGGCAGTGGGTGGCGTATATGTGTGTGTGTTCATAAATGTGTATGCATATTTTTGTGTGTGGATCTGTATATGCTCACCTAACATTCAGTTGATTCTGACTAATAGCAACCCTTTACGTGTGTCTATATCTATGTATGCATACTCACCTGTGTAGTTCCTGTTTGCAAAAGAAATACACAAGGTGCTTCAAAGGTTTTGTGGGAAATTTTCACTACTTTGACTCCACTTCTCTAGGAAATTTTTGAAGCCCCCTCATATTTGTGCAGACATATAATGCCAACATGCTTCTTCAAACACAAAAAATCCCATGCTTCTTTTCTTCTAAGTGGGTGTCATATGTGTGGGTGTATAAAACTTTGTTTTTCTCATTACCCGAAGAACACTTTTGGAACATAATTCGTGCTTCCATATGTTACGCAGCATCTCTCACCCCCTGAACCATGGCGATATTTGCACATGCCCACAATTTGGGAAAGACTTTAAAGAAATGTTTAACTATTTTGAGGGAAGAAAAGGCTTAAACTTAAGAGTGTATAATAAAGCTGTGTGTTTCATATGTCATGATGTCATCAAAGTGTTGCTAATAAACCATATAATCAGCTGTTTGGTGAGATGCCTTCAATAACAACTTTGTTAAACTTAGTTTTTACTTATTTTCAGTTATCTCAGCAAACCTCTATGGAAATACATTGTGTCTTCACTTCCTGTATATAGAACTAAAGAGGCAGGTAAACTCATCTTTCCTTAGTGCATTGATGTCCAGCTGCATTCTTTTCAGGTATCATTTCTTTCCAAAATACGGTGTTTCCAGCAGACACAGCATCAGCATTTGATGCCTAGGGATGAGAAGAAACTAGCTGCTATGTCCAACTTACTCTGCATGTATAACTGTCCTGTAGCTTTGAGATCAATAGCCAAGACCTTTCAGTAATCAACCACATACAGTGAAGGGGAAGGGGCATAGAAGCTTGGTATTTATTCTTGACTTGGAGAGATAATGTTCCTGTAGCATTAATAGAAAAGTTACAAGACTGAAAAGCAATGTCTGATACAAGAACAGAGTCAAGGTTCTTTCTCTGTATATCAAATGAGGGGTTGGAGGAGGAAGAAAGGAAAGTGATTTAGGGGAGGGAAAATTTGCTGTCATCTTAGAATCAAGTAATTTAAAAATGTCCGAAACTCTAGGGATGGAAAGAAGAAAAGGGGTTTTGAATTTTATTTTAGTGCTAGCGCAGGTCAAGAAAACGAAGGAAAGTGCTGTAATGCGATGATGTGCGCAGAAACCTGGAGTTAGAAAGCCAACCGGAAGAACACACTTGGCACTTATTTTTTTCCTCAGCTGAAAGAACTGAAGAAAAAACTCTAGGCTTTAGTTGCCAAATCGAAGGAGTCTATTGGGAAAATGCTGAGCGATGCAGGAAACATTGTAAGAAGGTGGCAGGAATACAGAATCCCTGTGCCAGAAATCATTGGTCAGCAGTCAGCCATTTCAGAAGGTAGTACCTGATCAAGAACCGATGGTACTGAAGGAAGAAATCCAAGATGCACCGAAGCCACTGAAGTGCAAGACAAAGTTCCAGGGGCCCATGGGATACCAGTGAAGATCGCTCAGCAAGCAGATACAGCACTGGATCTGCGAACCCATGTGTGTCATACATTTGGAAGAAAACCCCCTGCTCAGCCACCTTTGAAAAGCTTGATATCTGTGTCCACTCTAAAGAAAAGTTATCCAGCAGTAGATGGACATTGTTGAACAATATTGCCTAAGGTACATTTTTGCTGAAGGTAATTTAAAAATGTACAGCAGTTCATCCACAGGGAACTACCAGAAGTAAAAGCCTCATTCAGAAGAGCACATGGAAGGAGGAGTATCGTTTCTGACGTCAGATGGATCTTGGCTGAAGGCAGGGAAAAGCAAGAAGATGTTTACTGGTGGTTTATTGACTAGGCTGTGTCTGTCACAACAAACTGGGTAACGTTGTGAAGAATGGGAGTTCCAGAACGTGTCTCTGTGGTGCTGCATAGCCTGCACATGGATCAAACGGCAGTTGTTTGAACCTAACAATGAGTTACGGCGTGATTTAAAATCAGGGAAGGTGTGTGTGTCTGGGGCAGTATCCTTTTACCATACTTAATATATGAGGGGCTTCAGGAAGTTGCGGAAAAATTGAATTAATGCTAATGGATTATTTTCCATGAACTTTTGAAAGTCCCCTCATATATACTGAGCAAGTAGTAACACAAGAAGAGGGATATTCTGAAGAACAGGACTTCAGGATTGGTGGAAGGCTTGTTAACAACTTGCATTTTGCTGATGATACAACCTTGCTTGCTGGAAGCAAGGAGGATTTGACGTGCTTCCTAATGAAGACCACGGTCTTCAGCCTTCAGTGTGGATTGCATCTCAACACAAAAAGGCAGAAGCCCTCATAACTGGATCAGAAAGTGACTAATGATTGAAAAATCAAATGGTAACCCCCTGCCATCCAGCAAGTTCCAATTCATAATGACCCGACAGGATAAAGGAGAACCACTCCATAGGTCGTCGAAGACTGTACATCTTTACTGACACACACTGCCTCATCTGCTGTGGAGTGCTGGGTGTGCTTGAACCACCGCCCTTTCTGTTAGCTGTTCATTGCTTAACGCAGTGCATCAGCAGAGATCATCAGGCATAGTTACCGACCGAGGAAGAAAGAAGCTGTCAAGGGTTTCATTTCGCTTGCGTCTACACGACTGCCCATGGAGGCCACAGTCATGAAATTAAACAACCTCACGTTGGCCAGGTGTCCTGCAAAAGACGTTTGCAGAAGACATTTGTAACAGCAAAGATGCCACTTTGAGGCCTGAGGTGCATCTAACCTGGGCTGTGGGACTTTCAGCACCTCATTTGCACGTGACAGCTACATGAGGAAGAAGGAAGAAGAACCGATGCACTTCAGTGACGGTGTTGATGAAGTCTGTGGAACATACCATAGAATGTCAGAAAAATGAACAGATCTCTGTTGGAAAAAGTACAGCCAGGATGCCCTTAGAACTGAGGATGGCGGGGCTTCATCTCACATACTCGGTATATGCTGCTAGGAAGGAGCAGGCCCTGCAGAAGGACGCGGGCGTGGCAAATAGAGGGCCCTCAACAAGGGCCTCAAACACAGCCGCAGTTCTGAGAAGGGCTGAGGACTGAGCAGTGCTGCCTTCTGCTGAGGGGAGTGCTGAGAATTGGGCCTGACTGAAGTCACCTGTGCACAACAGAACACAGAACCAAGTCAGCTACGAGAGGTGCATAAACAGTTTCATGAATTTGTGTCACTCTTGCCCTGAGTTAACCACTTAAAACTGTGTGACCATCACCTACTTGCTTTGTTCCTGGGAGTTACTGCTTGCAATCATTGTTCTCGGGATGATAAAAGTTGGGAAGGTTCCATTAATGTTTTCAAAGAAATTGGGTGATTTGATAAGCACTAACGACTTATTTGCTATTTCCTCTCTTCGTGGATGGTGGAGTGTATCTGGTGTCACGGGTT